AAAATAAAATAAAAATAAAAAAAATAAATAAATAAATAAATAAAAAATCAAAAGCCTCATCTCCCAGCATCTTCAGTAAGTCAATCCAGTAAGATTTAAAAGTTTATTGGTTAAGATGAATGATATATACATTAGAATAGATTATAGCAAAACTGATTACATTGAATGTATTCTGTGTGTAAGACACTGGATAAAGTACACTGTCCTCAAAGTGCTCAGGCATGATATATTTGATGTATGTGTTTAAAACATTATCTACGAATTTAAATGTCTAGAGGCCAAACGCATACCAAACATAGATGCCACAGGATTTGTTATAACCTTAGGCCTTAAATAAAGATTAAGTAACAAGGAACACAAAACTATAAGATCTTACTCTTTGCAAAATAGTCCAGGCAGATCAAACAATTTAAAAGTATTATTATAAAAATATTTAATAATTCATTATAACAATACTTCTGCTTCAATTAATACCAATTTACTTTCAGAGGATAACAGTATACTGAAATAGTCCACCACACATGCCATTTGGTATCTAACTTTGCAATACCTTCTTCAATGCTATGTAGATACACTCTATTTACATTTACATGGGTTTCTTAAGTGATATATAATGTCAAAGACAGTACACTAGACATCAAGTCTAGCTTTATCAGTTTTCAAAAAAATATAAAAATGTGTGGTTTAGGAGAAAGGATTAAGGCACAACTTATATAAAACTCTTAGAATCATGCCTTTCTATAAACCTCTTAATCAGACATTTAAAAAATCAATACCTAAATAAGTTCCTATATTATTTCTTTACATTATGTTCACTCATCTTTCAATGCCCCATATGTCCTCCTCCAATTCAATGTTTGAGATTACAAAAGGAATACTATTTTGTGTACTGTATATCTGTTTTTAAAACGTTTTGAATCGGCACTTAATGAATTTTTATTGATGTTGAATATTCATTACTTAGCCAAATAATTAATAAAAACAGAACATGATTAAATACTACAGTAATATATTAATGGTGTAATTAGTTGTACACTCTGGCACAATAACAGTACTTAAACACATCATTTAAAGATTTTATTTATTCAGTTTTTCCCCCCAAAGCCCCAGTAGATAGTTGTACGTCATAGGTTCACATCCTTCTAGTTGCTGTACGTGGGACTCGGCCTCCCGTTGGACGGAGAAGTGGTGCCTCGGGGCGCTCCCGGGATCCGGGCCCGGGCCGTCAGCATCAGAGCGCGCGCACTTAACCGCTAAGCCACGGGGCCGGCCCTAAACACATCATTTAAAAATACACGTTTATTGTGAACAATAATTCATTTAATGCAAAAAGATATCAATGAAAAGTAAAAGTCCCCCCTCTAAGCCTCTCCACAGAAAAAATACTTGAATAACGGCCTTAAACTTCCCAACACTGTCCAAGACAAAAAATTACAAATTCAAAAAGCCCTGTAAACTCCAAACAGGATAAATATGAAGAAAATCACACCTAGACACGTCATCCTCAAACTGCTGAAAACCAAAGCCGAAGAGAAAAATCTTGAAGGCAGCCAGAGAAACGACACATTAAATACAAGAGAACAACTTGAATGACTTTTCTCCCAAGCTGCAAAGAAGGTCCAATATAAAGAAGGTCCAATATAAAGCAGATCCAATATAAGTATAAAAAAGAGAACACTAGTACAATAGTAAAAAAAAAAAAAAAAAAGTAGTCAACATAGTATATATACTAAAATAAATTGTTTTACAAATGAATATAACTGTTCTTTCCTTTCTCTCCTTTCATACCAAAAGTTTTCAAAAAGCCTTAACCAGTAGACTTGATGACTATGCGGTACCAGGCGTCCCCATCCCAGTTTTTTTTAAACATACCCAAATCCGCAGTCATTAAGTGACAAGACTTCTGTTTTCGACAACAAAAACTACTTAAAATATGGATAGCATATTTGTCTCCGGCTTGAAAGATCAGCAGGTAACTAATTCACATTCGATACCTCCCCTTCAATTACATTCCTTCTAAACGCAGAAAAGAAGTAGGTTAAATAAGCAAGGCTGCAAGCAGAAAGCAGGTTAGAGGAGATGAGGTTCCGAAACTGGGGCCTCGGGCCTCTGCAAGAGGCTTCTTCAGCGGGGACCGGGTGCACGTACCATTTTTCGGCAAACTCTGGATCACCTTCACCGCCGCCTCAAACCTGGTTTCATGCACGGATCTCGTGTCCGCCATCTCCAGCCGCCAGCGCCGGCCCCGCTCCCAAGGTCTGTCGGCTGGAATCAGGCAGCAGCAGCACCAGCTTTCCCAGGAGCCTGCATGAAACTGGAACATGGAGCGCAGCCGCGGATCAACATGCCCAGAGGGAGGAGGCCCAGGAGCGCAGCTGGTCAGTTCCCCGTTGCCCTGCCCCATCCAGGCCACACCGACCGCGGTGGCCAGGCTCCTTCCTCCTCCCCGGGGCGTGACCAAGGCCGAGAAGCAGGCCCGCGTAGACACAAAAACAACTCACCGAGAGGAAGAGCATCTCTACCAGAAGGCGGAGGGGCTCCGGCCACCGGTGGTCGCGGAACCGCCCTCCCACCCGCAGGACCCTGGCGGAGCAGCCACACCCCCCATCTCGGCGGGGTCGGTCTGTCCGTCCGCGCCCTCCCCACAGCCACGCCCCAGAGCCGCCGGAGGACCCACGAGCTCCCGCCGCCGCCGCGCAGCAAACTCCACCCACCCGCCCGCGGCCGCGGCGGTGACGCGCTGTCCGTCGGCCCCTGAGGAGGAGGAGAGGAGGAGAAGCGCGACGGTCCGGTGCCCGCTCTCTGACCAGGGCGGACCGCCGGTCTGCGCCAGCACAGCTGTAGCGGCGGGGCGCGCACGGGCCGCGGGCTGGATTCTGCGCCTGGGCCCAGAGCCGCGCGCGTCGGTGCCGCTGGGCGGAAAAATGACTCTGCGGTCCCCAGAACCTGCCCTCTTAGATTAAGATTTCAGGAACGTGATGGGACAGAAGCAAAGGGCTTTAGTTCCGGAAGCCTCGGTGAGAACCTTAAGTTCTGCCATTTAAGTTCTGTGACCTAAGGGCAAGTTACTTAAGCCTCTCCGGTGGCAGTCTTTGTAGCACCCTAAACGGTAGATGAAAGGATTAGGATGTTGGATGGAGGTGCCTAGCAGTGCTTGGCTCGCAGCTCTCCGACAGCTTTACCTGTCCCGAGACAGGGACGTCCGAGCAACAACCAAAGGGCAGGAGAGGTCGCCCGCTACTAGCCTGGGCCGGGGCAGGGAGGGCATCTTCTCCCGCACCACCGCTAACGTCGAGCCCCGGGGAGCCGGGCACAGCCCAGCTCCAGCCCGATTTAATAGGCGACAGGCGTGGGGGAGGGGCGAACGATGAACCAATACGGATCAACCCCAGAAAGGGGTACCCTGGGCCTCCACCTTTCTAGCACAACGCCCCGCGTCCTCAGATATCTAGGAAGCGCCCCAGGCCCATAGAGGGGGCACTGACATTGTTGGGGGGGTGGAGTTCTGCCGCCCGGAAATTCCAAAGTCGCCAGGTCGTTTCTGTCAGTTCGGGATGGGTTAGGAGGGTTACTAGTGCAAATCTAGCCGCAGCCTATCAGTTACTTTTCGCTCCGAGCCCCAGTGCCGGCATTTACCTTGGTACTGCCGGGCAAGGCCTGTCCGGTAATGTCCCCGACGCCCGCCCCTCGCCCTGCCCCTCGCCCTGCCCCGCGGACTTATGGGAAATGTAGTCCCCCGCCCCTCCCCCCCCACGGCGGCGCTTCCGGGCACCTCCCTCCGGCGGCCGGCGTTCCTCCCACCTGTTCCGGTTCCGTTTCTTGGCTCTGCAGACGCTCGAGCCTTGCGGTGGAAAGCTTTCTTTTTAACTGCGTTGGACTCTGTGCCAATTCAAAATACTTAGCGCGTCCGTTTCCAGCAAAAGGGGCGCGCTTGAATCGGAGAAGTGGCCTCTAATTTCTTGCTCTTAATCCTTACTAATTTTGAGGTTATGTATATAAAAGCAAAGAATGTCGTTTAGGTAATAAAAGCTACTGATTACTGAGTGCCTGGTTGTTGCCAAACGTATGACACGTATTCCAGAAACGTGTCTGGAGGGTTTTTACGAATGAGGAAATTAAGACTCATATTAACTAATTTGCCCAACGTCCCACAATTTAGTAAGTAGCAGAGCCAGGAGTCAGTCAATCCAAAAAACTCTTACTTTAAGTTTTGGACTTTCTTCCATGATACCAAGGTGTAAGAAAATAACAGTTTCTCTAATTTACTCAAACTAGGAAGACTGTGTGTGTTTAATGTGTACTGCTTTCGCTACTCTTTTCTTGCTCTTTTATGATATCCTTTTCAGTTCCTGTCTATTCAGTCATGCATACTTATAAAAGTCTTCTAATCTAGGACTTCATTTTGACAGCTGCTCATAAAGCTTATGTAATAAGCTCAGTCTAGGGTGGTAAACAGACGTAATATAAGAATTACAACATGATGCAAAAGTGTTAAAATTGAAGGATATAAAAAGAGCTATATTATGTGCATCAAAAGACAACTACGTGGGGCTGGCCCAGTGGGGTAGCAATTAAGTTGGCATGCTCTGCTTCGGTGGCCCGGGGTTCACAGGTTTGGATCCTGGGTGCGGACCTATGCACTGCCCTCAAGCCATGCCAAGGTGGTGTCCCACATAGAGCAACTAGAAGGATGTAAAGTTATGACATACAACTGTCTACTGGGGCTTTGGGGAGAAAAAGGGAAAAAAGGAGGAAGATTGGCAACAGATGTTAGCTCAGGGCCAATCTTGTAAAAAAAAAAAAAAAAAAAGACAACTACAAAAATGTTAATAATAGCACTATTTGGTAACAGCCCAAACCTGGAAACAGCTCAGTGACCATCAGCAGTAAAACAGGGGCCGGCCTGGTGGCATAGTGGTTGAGTTTGGGGTGCTCCACTTCTGTGGCCTGGGTTCAAGGATTCAGATCCTGGGCATGGACCTACACCACTCATCAAGCCATGCTGTGGCCGCGACCCACATACAAAATAGAGGAAGATGGGCACGGATGATAGCTCAGGGCCACTCTTCCTCAAGCAAAAAGAGGAAGATTGGCAACAGGTGTTAGCTCAGGGCCAATCTTCCTTACCTAAGAGAAACAAAAATAAAAGCAGTAAAACATAAATAGAGACTACTGAAGAGCAATGAGAACAAATGAATTACACATATTCAGCATCTTCTATGAATCTCAGACATAACGTTGAGAAAAAGAATTTAGATTCGAAAGAGAACGTATTATATGATTCCATTTATATAAAGTTTAAAAACAGGCAAGACCGACATATTGTGTTCAAATTCAGGCTGGAGGTATAGGATCTGGAAATGAGATGAGGGAACTATGGGGTTCTGGTAATGTTCTATTTCTTGAATTAGGTGCTTGTTACATGAGTGTGTTCACTTTGTGAAACTCTATTGAAATGCATAACTAAGATTTGTTTATTTTTCTTTGTGTATGTTATACTTCAATTAAAATTTACATTAAAATTTTTAAGTACCATGGGAACAAGAAAGTGATTAAATCTGTGACACAGATGAGGAAGATGTCACAGAGGAAGCAACATTTCAGCTGGTTCTTCTGGGATGAGATGGTATTTACAAGCAGACAAGATGGGAGAGAGTCATTCTAAGGAAAGAAATAAAAGCAAAAACATCACATTATATGTGATAAGCAGCAAATTTATTCATGTGATGGGATCATAGATATGAGGGAAGTTGGGACAAGGCATTGGATGAAAAGCTGGTTGAGGCTGACTTGAAGGTCATATATGCCATGCAAAGGAGTTTTTATTTATAAATCCATGAAGACTATATGTTTTTGTATCAGCTGGAGTTTGATCCAGAAAGACCTACTATGATTGATACGGTATAAAAGATTAATTACAGGGATTAGACATTATAGAATCATGGAAGCTGGTCAAGGGGCCTACGGAAGGCGATTGCCTCTGTGTCTGGAGGCAAGCCTAAAATCGCTGTAAGTCAACGTGTTTTACAGTCAGGAACTGGTGTGAAGTAGGGAAGAGCAAAGACGGATTGAAACCCCTAAGAACAAACTGGAACCAATGAGGACAAATTGAATCCTACATTGTCTCTCACCATCTCTATAATTTTATTTATTTATTTATTTTTCCCCCCAAAGCCCCAGTAGAGAGTTGTATGTCATAGCTGCACATCCTTCTAGTTGCTGTACGTGGGACGTGGCCTCAGCATGACCAGAGAAGCGGTGCGTCAGTGCGCGCCCGGGATCCGAACCCGGGCCGCCAGCAGCGGAGCATGCGCACCCAACCGCCAAGCCACGGGGCCGGCCCTCACCGTCTCTAAACTCAGTGACATAGATGACCTTCGGAACAAAAAGGTACCAGTCTCCATGGAGCTGAACTCATGCCTGACCTAAGATTCAAGGAAGCTGCGGGTCAATCTGCTCCTCCATGCCGGGTACCCTTCAGAGCTGTGTCACTTCTTCCTGCCAAATCTCACATAAATTCTTATGGCCAAGGCGAAGTTAGAACAATACAGGGAGGGCCGGCCCTGTGGCTTAGCGGTTAAGTGTGCCCGCTCCACCGCTGGCGGCCGGGGTTCGGATCCCGGGCGCACACCGACGCACCGCTTCTCCGGCCACGCTGAGGCCGCGTCCC